AAATCATATCCCCTTTTTAGAACATATGTTTCTCAACACATTTTAACAATTCAATTGGTCAGATCAAAAAGTAAATGAAGATCAGAGTTTAAATCATCACAAATTGTCGAAATTTCAAACCGTAGAAAACAAAATCAATTCTTCATAAAACCATTTTTTCAAAGCATGGAGAAGGATAAAAAAGACTACCTAGAATTGATGAGAATGATACGATAAAACACGGATTTCATATACAAAAAAACACGGATTTCATATACTTCATATACAAAAATAAGTTTACAAACAAAATAAATGAAAAATACAACTTATCTCACAATCCTTCCCAAATAAATCCCTAGAAGTTCTCCAAGTCTTTCTCTCTTTACAAACACTCTCAATTCTCTCTTAGAAGTGTAATGAAGAAGAAATCTCTCACATTCACTCTCCTCTTACAACCCTAGATGACAGTCTCCAAGCCCTTGACTTTCTCTCTTTTCTCTCTCTATCTCTCCCTCTTGGTTCTCACGCCACCTATCTTTTTTCGCCCCCTTTTGAAGTTCTTCTCCAACTTGATTTTATTTTGGGTTGCCTCATCTAAAAAGAATTTCAATTTCTCTCCAAAATTCAAAAGTCAAACTTTTGAATTCAAAAGATGTGTGTCTTTGATCCAAGAGTCAAATCCCTTCAAATTAGAACCTTCCAAAGTATCTAGATGCATTGAATCACTCCACGGGGTGTTTAGAACAAGTGTTCCTTTGAGAATTTGTGAAAAATTTGTCTCGAACCGCTTTAATTTGAAAAAGTCGCACCTGGCGCATCATGCGCCATCGCTCGCCAAACCCCAAAATTGGCTGTTTTTGCTCCAATTTTGCTTCTTTTGTCATTTTTGCTCTAAATGCCTAAAAATGGTATACCTGCAACAAAAATACAAAAAATACATTTCTTTAAAGTGCAATATCACAAAAAATAAACATAAAAAGGGTACTTAAAATAATATATTATTTTTGTGTATCACCAGTGAGGATATCTCAGCGAACAATGCAAATTTTTTTATCACGAGCAATAAGTTTTATAACTATGCTAACAATCCAAGGGATTTAACTTGTGTCACCTTTCATTTTACTGTTCAACATTTAATGATTCTTATTTTAAAATTGATATATATATATATATATATATATATATTCTATTTACTGCATTCACTATATTTTAAAATTATGTATGTGTCAAACTAGGCCATATGTAAGGCCAACTCTTTTTAAATCCATTATAAGTGACACCCCTTAGATCTCTTAGATCTTTAGGATGGGACCGGTGTGGCGACCCCGTAAAAGTCATATGATAGCTGAAGAATTTATCCTGTGTACTTAGATGCTAGATTAGAACACTTTTTGTTAAATGATGTGTTAGGAAATGATCTTGTGTGCTAGGTAGTCTTTTTGATGACTAATTATTGTTCTTTGTTGGATCGGTTGCCCTAGCCTTACATCCTTCTTTTGCTTTGTGTTTTTTGGTGTGTTTGCATGCCTGATATGCATGGTAGTGTGTTAGGACATTCTTCTGCAGGGAGTCGTATCTATGTATATGCACACACACAAGTACAAAGTTTACATGCTTGATATGCATGAAATTGTGTTACGACATTCCTCTACAGGGGGCTGTGCCTACGTATATGCACACACACATGTGCCAATAAGGGGGGAGCTCATAATGATTTCTAACATTTTGGTTGCAGGTGACATTAGCTCCCCCAATTATAAGGCTGCACAACCTATTATGCGTGAATGGTTTTCCCCGCTAACGTTTGTTTTCATGCAAGTCAAGTAATTTTTTTTACTTGTCTTATGTACATTTTAGAGTCCTAAAAGAGTTCGTAGAAAAAATAAGATACATGCACATGTTCCGAGACGATTGGATGTGGAAACCATGTGACAGGGGACCAGGAGCAGAAACTTATGTTCTATATCTTAATTCTGCATTTTATATTGATGCATATAATTAGGACCGGGTATGTATATGTGGAGTTCGATCATTTTTTTTCTTTTCTAGGATATGTTGTCGACTCAGCGATGTCGCCATTTTATTATTTTATTTGGCTTGTTTCTTGTATGTTGCATGCTTGGACTGTTTTTCTTATTTTCTTTTGGATCTGAGGTATCACAAAAATTACAATTTAAGCTCTCTAGGACATTAAAATTGTAAATTTTTCTACATAAAAAAAAATTAATAAAAGAATCAAGATGAATTAAAATTTAGGCTTAGAAGAATTAAAATTTTTAAAATCTATCTCTTATTTTTCTACACGACCTTTTGGCTTGATTTTAAACGGGTTACATAACTTTAATATCACCCAAGCCATATAATAGGGTCTCTCAATATTAAAGGACCGCTATAGATAACTGCATCATATTTGCATGTTCCGAGGAGGATCCCTTGTGCTTCTCCAACCCAACTGACCCAACATATCTTCTCTACATAAAGGTTGTCTAGTCCGCCTAGGTCGTTAGAAGGTTCTCCGACCCAAACGAGATGTAAGTCTTTTTGTCGGAGAGTTTCCAGCTTTCTAGCAAGTATAAGCCGATCATTAGCTTATAGTCATAGGGTAAAGTCTCATTTCATTGACTTTAGGGCTACCAAGGTTCCCGTAGATGATGCAAATCACAAATTGCTGCCTCGAAGATCTCTGGACGTGCTGGGCCGACTACCTTCACAACTGAGTAGAATTAGGGTCCTAGTAGCTGTGTATGACGAGTTCGTGGTACTCCTACCCAACTACATCTACCATCTATAACTACTCTACCCGTCACGTGTTGAGCCTCTTTGAGCCTTGTCGCTCCTTCAACTTTTTTGATATCGTCTTGATGGTCGGCTGCCGATGAGCTATCACTCATTTGAGATATGATGATTTGACCTCTGCCCTTATGGCTTGAATGTGCTTTGATGTGTTGGGATATCCCGTCAAGAAAATTATGGTTATCCAGTGGGCCTTGCATGTTGAGGAGCCGCTACTTAGCTTGAGCTTTGAAGCATGAGGACATTCCCACACGAAATAACCTTCCTTTGATGACCTATTTAACCAGGTCTACGATAATATAAGCGAACTCCTTTTATTGAGAGTATTTCTGAGTACCCTCCAGAATGTAATTAACCAAGTGGGATACGTCCCCTTGGGAGTGCTCTTGACCCTAAAACATATATAAACACCTAACCCTCTTATTATGGTTAGACAACGCAGATACTTCTTTCGCGGATACTATTCCAATGTGCTTTCTCCCGTTCTTGTTTGGCATACATACTTAACATATTCTTGTGAAGTTTGTCGCACTTAGACTCTTCACGTTTTGTTTTTTTATCTTGTTTTTCACTTTGTCGTATGACCCTTCTTGTTCGAGTCCTCTCATCTTTGAATCACTGATCTGATTCGGGAGGGAGATTTGTTCGAATAAGAGAAGTAAACAACGATTGACAAACCGGTGACTCTTTTTAAAATAAAAAAAGAAAAATGAACTAAAACATACTCGTTGGTCCGGCTAGCCATAACAAAAGGGTTTAATACCGACATAATAATATTATAATATTAGTGATATTTCATGCATCACAATCACATCACGAGAATATAACTATAAAATATCAACCGGTATTTATTCGTAATTATAAAAACTGAAATAATGAGATTTATCACATCAAATATTCAAAATAATACTAAATATTGAAGCCATGAAATACAAACGATTAAACACAAGGTTAAGTAGGAATAAAAAAAGACTAGTTATCCATTAAAGTCATTATGAGCAAAGATAGAAACTTCAGAAACTATGTTAATAAGATTTGAAAGGTACGAATCACAATCCTACAATTAACAACAAATCTAATACAATTAGTAAAGATAATGCCTTTAACCAAGAAGGGTACATTTTTCTCATAATAAAGAGCGATTACATACCTCGAGGAAGCAAACATGATATTTTTTATGAAATCGACGGTTCAACTATCGATCCTACATCAATTAGAAGGTAAGATTAATCATGCAATTATTACTTAGATATAATCTAATTGACGTTCAATATTAGGATTATTATTACTATTATTATTGTTCTTACTTTATTATTATTATTATTATTATTATTATTATTATTATTATTATTATTATTATTATTATTATTAAAAGTAAGAATTTATGAACCTAATTAAACTTTAACTAACAATTAAAACACTATCTTAGTTTTGCCATATTTTGATAAAGAGTAAAAAAAGATTTCTGAATAAATTTTATTAAGAAAATTTATGTGTAAAATGATATAATAACTAATAAAAAATTTATTTTAGTCCTCCGTTTCTTAATACTTGTTCCTCTTCTACCATGAATTAGGATTTAGAGAAGCTAAAGTGCGGAGAAAAGCAAGAGTTCCCTTCCTCTACGGTTTCGTGGAGCGGACGGTAGGAGGAAGATAGGAGTTTTGGGTCTCTGTATGCCACGATCCCACTGCTGCCTTCTCTATTAGCTCCAACCATGACAATGCTGCGGGCGTTCGGTAACGAAGCCGATGGTTTAAAAAAAAATCAGAAGAGCAAGAGGAGGAAAATCGAGAGAAAGAGGGAGATTGGGAGAAGGGAGATGAGAGAGACCGAGTGGAAGAGGAGAGTGTGATGTCCAAACTTACATCAATCCTCCCTAAATAGCCGCGAGAGGCGTGAATTCGATCAATCCAGGAAAGTTGCAACATCGAGCTGGAGAAGAAAAGAAAAGTGGATTTTTAGGAAGTCAGTAATGCAAAGAACAACAAAGGAAAGAAGCAAAAGAATATATATATATAAGAATAATTTTAATTTTTATATGAAATTAGTTTGTGATTTATTATATTTAATTTTAATGAATATTATATATATAATTTTTATAAATAAAAAACACTCAGAGTCAATCTCCAGTTTCATAAATAATTTGAAAATAATTAAAAAAAATTAGATTCAAAATTTAATTTTCGAGTCATTCTCTCTCACTTAAAAAAAAAATAATAATAAAAACAACACGACCTCGATGCAGCAGTTACTCCGGCCATCGTGGCGCTCGAACCACTCCGCATCGCCCGAGATCGCGGCACTCAAAGCTCCCCATCGTTTCCATCGCTGCACCTGAACTCGTACGAGACTTATTCACGCACGTCAAAGCCTCGATCCCCATCTATTTTCCACGGATTTCATTACTTTCTAATCTCATTTCACTTTGTTTTCCCCACCGCTGCCTGTCAACTTTGGCGCCTTCTTTTCCCAGTGAGATTGTTTTTCCAGGTACTATGTCATTCTCTTTTGAATGGGATTTGTGGGTTTTATGCCGCTGTTTTTTACAGGAATTGTTTGCTTTTTGAGTTGTCTAAATTCGTTGATGAATAATTTTGGAGAAGAGGATGATTGGTTTCAAGTTTATTCCTGGTTTTGGAGAAGCCTCTGCATTTGGATTGTATTTTTATGGATGATTTGAAAGTTTGGATGCTTTAATGCGTAACTCTGACATCTTTATTGATCTTTCCTGTTACAAATTTTTGTTTTGTTTTGGTTTTTTTAATTTTTTTGCAATCTTAGGGTTAGGCTTTATGTTCGTAGTGGTAATGAGAAAACTTATGAATTTATGTCAAAGTGTTCCTGATTCTTGGGCCTGGTGGGATGGCTTTGTCACCTTCAAGAGTTAGGAACTTTCTGGCTTTAGAGTGTTCTGAATGGTAGAAGATGCCTTTTTTTTTCATGCTGTTTCTTATTTCAAGGAAAAATTGTAGACTAAAGTAATATGAACTGAAGTTATGCAAAATGCTTTTAATAAACAGGCTTAACACCTCACACAATACATAGATTGGTTAGTTGAATATTTGATTGATTAAAACTTTCACAAGCTTTCATCCGAGCTTTCTTGTTTGAGATTTTTTCACATTTCTTTTTTGTCATTTTTATCGCAGTCTTTTGTAATTTATTGTATTTTTATTTTGGTCATCAATCCATCTCAGTCTTGATATGTAGATTTTACTCTATTAGAAGTTTATAGATGTACATGTTTTTTATTTCCAATATAATTTATGGAAAGATTTTATTTTTATTATTAGGAATTTTGCCTAAGAAGAGATTTTTCAGAAAGACATCAAAATCGAAGTTATCAACTAGTATAGAGAAAATATATAAGGGCAATGAAAAATAAAGTCCATAATATTGTATGGGGATTGAATCATTAAAAAAATGTAGGAATAGATTTATAAAATCTCCCTTCAGATCATACGTTTGCACTCCAATTCATGAGTATGATCCAAATGTGCAGATTAAATTTAACGAGCATACTTACAAAGCGGCTCATGTCGCCGCATAATCACAATTAATCGATAAATGAATAAGAGGGTTAAGTTGTCCATAGGATATAGCTTATTCAAGTCTACATACATTCTCCACTTGCAACTAGCTTTATTAAACATGATCACACTTACCAGCTAAGGCATTGAACTTCTCTAATGAAGTTTGCCTCCATTAGCTTGGCAAATTCTAATCTTATCGTTGTTAAGAAACTAACATTAAAGTTTCCCTTCTTTTGTGGTACTGCTTTGACCTTGGGTCTATATTGAAAGAGTAAATGGGTTGACCTCAATGGAAGTGTGTTCCTTTGCTTGAAGGAAGCTAACAGTGAGTTTTAAGGGTAAGGAGGGATCTAACTCGGATTGCTTTTGCTGGATAATTTTTTCTAAGCGTTTAAAGTTATTCTTCAATGAGAGAAGTATGTTAGAAGGAGATCCATCTCTCTCTCGGTCAAAGTTGTTGATATTTAGAAGGACAAATTTGGGTTTGGATTGTTGTACATGGTATGTTTGTGTTATTTGTCAGCCCCTGTTATTACTCCAGTGCTAATAAATGTAAAAAAAACATCTTCAAATGAGGTATAAAAGCAATGATATTAATAAAGATGGTTTGAAGTGGCCTCCCAAAAATAGCAACATAAGTGGATTGTGAATTAACTATCATGATGTGCTAATGAGAAAATAGTGTACAACAACAACAACAACAACAACAACAACAACAAAGCCTTAATCCCACTACGTGGCGTCGGCTAGATGAATCCTTTTTCTCCATTGCGTCCTATTTAGTGTCATATCTTTGAATTAAATAGGTTGTTTAAGAAAATCATACAAATGGGTTTAATTAGTTGGAGTTTGTCTCTACTGAGACCAATATCTAGGGAAGTAGTTTTAAAAAAGAAGATCGATTTCTTTTGGCTAGCACTTATAAGTCTTTGGAGAAGACTTGGTTAGGTTGCAAAGGACTTCCCATAATAGTCTCTATTGTCCTTACCATCTAGCAACCATTTTGTTGGTTTTATGGAAAAGTTTGTTGACCATCTAGATGATTTTAACCAATTCAGGGCATATTCTTGGTTTTGAAGGAAGCTGTTGAGATACCCTTAGAAGATAAGCCATTCAATCTTCTCAAAGTTGATTAAATCCTCCATAAAGTGTTTATATTTGTGATAAAGCTCATGATATTGTGTTTGATCAGGACGACCATATTTATGGGGTTAGTGGCTTTGAAAATGTTTATCTTTTTTAATCTCCATAAAGATATTAGCCCAGGAGGCATTCACAGAAGTATAAGCTTGAGGCATGCATGGAAGCTTCTCGGATTGTAGCTGATGTTATCGCTGTTAAAGTTGCTGCCAACATTGATGATTATTCATGTTTTTTTCTAATGCTATTAATAAGGTTCTTGTTCTTCTTGGCTCTATCCTTCTCATTATCCAATTTCTGGTGTTAGGGACAATTGTTGGTGATGAGCTTCAACTGGTTCATCTGCACTGATCTATACTTCAATGCATTAGTAATTGTCGTTTAGGATTATGCCTAAACATCGCTGAATTAGCGAAGAGGTAAACCAATTCATCAAAGTTTCTTTTTAAGTGCTATGGAAGTGAGAAAAACCATTATCTAGCTTGTCCCATCAATTAAAAAAAAAAAAAAAACTAAGCAACCTCTCGAATGGTGAATCTAGGAGTTATCCCTCCAAAAACACATCAATGCTAAGTCATTCAATGAATCTAAAGGCTGAAGAAATGGTGCAAGCAGCACAACCTAGCTTTCTTTAAGGAGAAAAGCGAAGGAAAAGAGAGGCTAATTTTATCTTGTCCACTAAGGGGTGTTTACTTTGTTGGGAGGAAGGTTATTTTAGTACCTCAACAAAGTGCTTGGTGGATAATCGAATAATCTCATCCTTGAGATTAGTGTTGAACCAAAAAGCCCATTGATCAGGGTGCTTTGGTCATCCAATCAATCAAATTGTGAAAAATTAGACCACGTTATGCTTAAGATCCATGTTGGACCATCATGCCCTTAGGGATGATGGATTGATGGAGGCCTTTGACCCTAAGATTGGTATAGTTAAAGATAGTGAAGCAATGTATCTGTTGATGGCCTTGAGATTTGAAACCAAGTTGCATAGATTTGATGAATGTGTCTTCATAAATCATGATGTTATCTAATGGTATGGGTTGAACGGGGCATTGCCCATCCATCACTATAAAAGGAGCACAAAAGCTTGAATCTTAGTATCCTTGATTGAACGATCAAGACCCAAAATTACTCAATAGCCTAATACTTTTCAGCAACACATCCAAGCTGAACCTAGTCAAATTCTAGTTATATTTTGTTTGATTCCAAACAACAAACTGATATATATTAACCAAACTATGTAATTATTCTTTTACTTTGATTTATCTTGTGATGAGACTTATTCCTCCTTTGTTAAGTGCTAATCTTGGACTATAACAATAATATTTTAGAATTTGACATAAAAAACACAATTATTTGTGTTGAAAACTTTATGGGACTCAAAATGTATGCTAGTGGTAGTTGTAATGGGACTACAAATTTTAACTCAAGGATTAAAGCATAAGTTGATTATAGTAGTAAAATGAACTTAATGCAAGAAAATAAGTCACGTCACTCTTACCTCCCTCCCCACTTAAGACACCTAGTTTCAATCTTTATAAAAGACAATCCATAAATATTAGACATAATTAAACATAAATAAAGTCAAGTCTTACTTTGCCATAAAATTTTAGCTCAATAGAAAATGGTAACCAATCAGAAAAAATGCAACAAAAATAACGAATAATAAATAGAACTCCTATAGCATATGCATTTTAAGGGCACACATCTGGGTATATTTGTGATAGCTTTTTCACTTATGCCTTATAAAACGCAACCACACCTTTATTTGCCCTCCTGATCGTGGCTACCTTTATGTTTCTGTTTTTTCTCTGTGTCCGAGTCAGAGGCGCAAATTTTGAACTGGACCCAATTTCAAAGACAAAGGGGATCAGCGCAAAAGTCGTACTCCCCTTGGCAACGAGCTCACTAACAACTTGCACACTCTTCCCTTTTGCTGTAATGACAACAACAGTGGGTGCAGTGACAGTCAGACCAGCAGGGGCAACAACAATGGTCCCAGGTGCAGCCTCAACGGTCCTAGCGGTAGACTTCACAGCAACGCCAGAATTCCTCTTAACTAACACCCTCTTTAGCTGGGGGACCTCTTCAGCAGACCTCAAGTCAAACTCGACAACAGGCTGCACAACTCTATCTGCTTCAGGCTTTAGCACTGCGACGACAACGCTACCGAACTTGACTTTGGCATTGTCGAACTCTTGTCCAAATTTAATAACCGTGACATCAGACAACTCATTTTTCTTAACGTCGAAGTCCATTCCAGTGACGAAAGAGAGTTGGGTGTAAACATTTTCTCGGTAGGTAGGAAAAAGTTTAGCACATTAACATCATTCCATGCTTCATTATAATGACTGTAGGACGAATATCAAAGCTTAACAAGCATATCTGACAAACTGGGTGTTTCTTTTTGAAACTTATCCAAATGATTATTATTATTATTATTTATTCAAATTTTATTTCATTTCATTTAAGAGGAAAATAATTTGAAAATGACAGATTTCAAATCGTTTTAAAAAGTAAAATGAAAATGCAGCAAATATGAAGCATAGGACCCAACCCTAAACTGGCGAGAGATGATCCTACACCAAACTCACTTCGGTCAACACCGCTCGTTGCTCCTAATCCACCACACATATTGGGGGTCCAACCCACTTAGACCCATAAGGTCTAGATTCTAGAACCTCTCTGTTTAAAGGTGATTAAACAAATGACTCTAGAATCCGAAAAAGAGTTGGCTATACCCGCTCAAGCAAGAAATGAGCGAGGTACGCCAACGGAAGAATAGTAGTCTGATCCACTAGAGACATGGACACACTACCG